TAATAATTGTAATAATAGTAATGATAATAATAGTAATAACAGTAATAATAATAATAATAATAATATTTAGAGTTGTGAAAAAGTGAAAATTGAAAATTCATCGAGTGAGGGGTTAGTGTTCTGAAAGGATTGTTTTAGAAAGTAACCCGGATTTCAAGATATCCTGAATATCGAGAAAATCGAAAATCACATTCGGATTGTTAAACGCCTTTTAATGTGGAGTTCACGGAACCGCTGTATTCATTTTTATGCGTTTTTTGCATCTATGCAATGCAAAAATGCATATTGTTGATGGGTTGCCTGTCTATGTGTGCGTCTGTACCGAATTTTCATCTCGAGATCTACAAAAGCTGCGAGACTGGAACTTTGGCGATTTGAAAATTTCTTTGCAGCCAGTATACAGTGCCGTTGGAATGGTACGATTCGCCGAGCGTTTCACTCGTGTAAGTGCCGTACTGACAGCAGGTCCGTTACGTGGCCCAGGTATACTTGATTTGACAGCAATGCCAATCGATGGTCCAGTGATGTTCAGCGGTTCATGGGGACGAGAGTGGTGGCTTTCGGGCAAACGAGTGGTTCACGAAGATGGAATCTCTGATGAAGGCTTCAGTGCCCTGCAACGACTCGGTGAAGAGGTATGAGCGTAATGTTCACATGTGAAATATGCTGTTATTGCTTTCGTCATCGCGCTTCTCCTCATCGATATTCCTAAATTGACGGCTTCATTCTTCCTCGCTTTCTAGGATTTGTCGCATTCATCTAATTTCATGAAGGTTTCCACTTTTTCTGTTTATGATGTAAGAGACGGGATCGTTCTTCGATTATAAGCGGAAGTGTTTAAACCATCACAAAAATCCGTTTTTGGATGCCGGTGATTAATGGGGCTGTTAATGTTACGAGCTGGTCGGATATTCGCATAGCCCGCAGATGTTCCGAGAAGCAGCGCCGGCCTTTTGTGACGACGATAAACTCCCTTGTTTGTGATATCCCGGCTTTATCTGGATCTTGTTTGTTGCCCTCTACGACACAGCACAGACACCCGTATCCGTATCACATGCACGTCTTGCCACTTAGCGCCACACCAGTATAGCATTGGCGGCATTTCGGATATTCGGTAAGCAGCAGTCATCGATCTTCAGCTGTTGTCTCTCATTCTCATCACATGTTTAGTCTTTTTTCTGAGATTTAGCAAATTCTTTCCAAACATCGCTCAGGCCAGGCCAAATCTTTATCTCTTCTTTTTTTGTAGAATTATTTGCTCCTTATCTTTTCCGAATGTTTGATCTGCTACGATTATGAACTAATATTTGTTTGCATACTTTGTTCATCTGTTAAATCACAGTCTGGCTCTCAAAAATTATGCAGTCAGCAGCTTTCCCAGTTGCTTTAACCAGTGCTGCAGCGTCTCCTGAAGCTGCTGACGATCCTAACATTCGTCTCGTCTCTTGAAGAGATCACCAACTCAGCGGATTTACTGCTTGCAGCTGATGAAGTTCTAAGGGATCATCATTTTTACCCTTTCTATTTCTTCTGGATTTTGAAGAATCTACTGCTGTATCTGTCTTTTTCATCTTCTTCGCCAAGACTTATTTTTTCTTAGAATTTTTTGTTATTTTTAATTTTTGCCCCTCATTTGATCAAAAAAAAAACAAGAAGTCCGCCGGTTCTTTGACTTTTAAAAGGATGTTGTTTGTAATTCAGATGAAAGATTTGCTTCATTCCTCAGACTATGCTCCGTTTGCACTGGTTGGTAGTGGTGTGCAACGAAAAGTGGATCGTCTAACGCTTGGCGTGCAAACCGTTTGTCGCCATGTAACGCAGGAGCTCTCGTCCAGGTATCAAAATGCTGTAAAAGAGCGAATGCATCGTGTGGATCCGGACAGTCGAGTGAGTGGCCCTTTTTACTGTTTTTAATTATTAATTAATGGATAATGATGGATTGCTTAGGCTGTTAAGTGGGCGCACTTTTGTTCCTTGCCGGTGGACGGGGGGAAAGTGGCAAAGTTTTCCAGTTGGCAAGTTGCTAAGTGGTGACGAGGAAAGCTAGAAGGCTGAAATTTCGAGGAAATGCTCTCCGTCCAAGGGGGTATTAATTTGCTCAAATCCAGCCCCCTGGCATACGTGAAAGCCGAGCAGGCCAAAGTTTTAACCATCCAGTGGGACAAACTAATCTGTTTTGCTATTTGTTCATTCATAGGCGGATCC